AAAGCAGCATAAAAGTGCACCCCATTTGCTTTTGAAAATAGATGGCAGCATCTGCAAAGTGAGCCCATTCCTATGGCCCCTTTTTGGGTAGTTAGTGGATAATAGGCTTCACCTCTCAGGGAACATATTTTATGGCAGGCAGCATGCTAACCTGGCAACGCAAATGGACCGCTGGCTTTGCATTTAGTTTCAAGGCTCATATTGTTCAGACTTACCTTGTGCAGCCACCCACCCATCTTTAAATCTCCCACTGTTTCTGTCTTTTAACTGCAGCATACTGTCTCCATCATGCTCTTGAAATGCACGAGCACGACATGCACCCTTGGTGCCTGTAACCATCCAGTCTTGACTCGCTGTATTCCTCACCCCCTGCCATTCAAAACGGGTCTTACTTCCCCTAACCTGCACGCTACTCCTATAGAAGAAATGTCATCACAGCACCCTTTTGCATGAGAAAAAGCTATTTAGTCATATTTATGATTTTTCAACAATGACTATAAATGCCCTAGAACTAATTTTACAATGAATTACCCCTGGTGTAGAAGGAAACAATTTAGCACTATACAAACTGAAGCGCAACACACTGCACAGTCTTTCTGTTTGCATTCATTATATCTGAAGAAGACAAGGGAAGCCTTTTAAAAAAATCCCCTGCCAGCCTTTGAACAAGAAGAGTAGTAATTGTTGGGTAAAATTCACCATAACACCTCTCATTATATTATTAGCATTGCATTAGGAACAAAGAGGACTGGCAGGGATATGTATGCTCTGGTTGTTTCTAACATTTCCACGTATCATTGATGGAGGGGAGATAGTACTGAGTGCTTGCATGTTTGTTTCCACTTACTTAAAGAAAATGAAGAGGAAACACTTTTTGCGTCCAACAGTTGTCAGTGAGATTGTGTTAATTTCCAGCGAGTTTCCTGTATGTGTTTATTCTGTAGGTGGTTTTGGCATACATACTAAAGTGGTCTGTTATTTGTAAGACTATCATTGTGTGTGTGTGTGTGTGTGTGTGAGAGAGAGAGAGATGATGAACTTGTTCACAGTGAGATGAAAATGGCTGAGATGAGTAATAGTAAGTAAGTAAGTAAACGTTATTTATTAAGCGCTTTTCACAGACAGACAATCACAAAGCGCTGTACACAAATATTAAAATATTAAAATAAACAATAAAATCAATAGACATTATATACAATGTAAAAGATTAAATGTAAATAATGTAAAAAATATAAAATATGTAGATCAACAAAAGGCTTGTTTGAACAGAAGATAATAGAAATGAACCGTTTCATTCCCCAAGTTTAGATTCTGTTTTTAAATAAATCTTTATGAATTCTAAGGTACAAGTTTCTTCTTGTTTGGATAAACAACCTTCTGTTTGCCTTTGATAAGAATCTCAAAGACAGACCTGATCATAAATATCTGATCTAACAGGTAAAACTGACACTTATTTAGTGTTTGATAGTGAGGAGATTCATAACTGCACCATTTCACCATTTCTTTAAATGACAACTTTAGAATAACGTATATATTTGATTATTATTATTTTTTTGAATCAGGTCTTTTGCTACTCATTCATCATTTTATTTTCCATTTCCAAACCAATTTTCATGTCTTTCAGCAGAATTTCAGCAGCAACCCTGAAAGTCAACCAGCGGTGTTTTTCCCCCCGATAATTTTACACTTCACTGAATTCAAATCAAAGCACAGGTTTATGATATTAAAAACACTGTATTTGTGCAAGACTATGC